GACATGGCTACATGCAGGGTTCAAGTGTGCCGTAAGCTAGAGACCATTCCCAAAGCTGCTTCTTATATATGTGAAGCAGACCACATCACTCAAGCAGCTATTCAGCTGCTCTAGTACATTCCACAATGGAGTTAATTACCAGTCTTTCCATGGGGAATAACTACATCCAGTTGCCCAGCCAAGTTGACATACAAACTTAACCACCACAGCATCAGACAGTGTTTCCCTGCTATTTATAAGGTTTTCCCTGATCAATTCTTTGAGAAGTGGATGGCCTCTTCTTTCTTCCTAGTCTGTCTCAGTCTGTAAGCTGCGTTGAAACCCGTGCACCACCTACAACCCTGCTGGCGTTCGAAACACCGGTGGCACAGCCTCAAGCCTCCCAGTAACATGCAAGCCACCAGAGTATCACAAACTGACAGACAAGTTTGTCTCCATCAGCTGTTCGAAACCTCGCCACTCTCCCCTTACCTGGATCCCTGCCGCTGCTCACTGTCTTCCCCCTGGCTTTTCTTTCCCTGCTTTCCAGCCTCTTGAATGTAATGAGGGTAGTACTTCTATTTTACAGAAGAAATGTCACGTGTAGTAGGTACAGGGCTCTGATTACAACTCCTGTGCTGCCTCCAGGGCTGTGCACTTCTTTACACTGTATTCCCTTCCCATTCTAATACCCTCATTGTTTCAAAGACTATTGCTTCTAATCTAAGCTTTTTGGAACTTAAGCTTTCTTATCTGTAAAATGGGGATAATTCTAATATCTACCATATAGGGTTGCTATGAATAGTAAATGTGATATCCACATGGTTATTGATTAATAACAAGGAGCTCTGGTGGTGTAGTGGGTAATGCATTTGGCTGCTAAGCACAAGGTCGGTGGTTCAAACTCACCAGCTTCTCTGTGGGAGGAAGATGAGACAATTCACTTCCCTAAAGATTTACCGCCTTGGAAACCCAATGGGGGTCATTGTGAGTCAGAATTGACTGGATGGCAGTGGGTATGTTTTTTTGTTTATTGATTAAGAATACAACAAATGCTACAGAAAGAATGCGACAAACACTAGAGCCTAACATTATCTTTGTTGTTGTTGTTATGTGCCACTGAGTCAGACCCGACTCATAGCAACCCCTCCTTGGGTGTCTGAGGCAGTACCACTATGGAAGTAGATTGCCTCATTTTCCTTCCAAGGAGTGGCTTGTGGATTTGAACCACCAGCCTTCTGGTTAGCAGTCAAGTGCCTTAGGCACTATGCTACCAGGGCTCCTTACCTCACTATATTGTAATTTTCAATTATGTTCAACTGAGATCATCCAGGGCATCAGTTCTCAAACTTACTGTTCCCAGGGCCTTCCTACACCCTTAAGAATTATGAACCACAAGGAGCTTTTGTTTATCTGGGTTATTAGCTGTCATTGTTGTTAGCTGCTGCTGTGTTGGCATGCATCACTGTGACACCATGCACTCATGCCCAGTACTGCACCACCCCCACTGTAGGTTGCAGATCGGATTGTTGTGATTCATAGGGCTGATTTTCAGTAGACTGCCAGGCTTTCTTCCTGTCCATCTTTTCTTGGAAGCTCTGCTGAAACTTTGCAGCATCACAGCATTAAGGAAGTCTACATTGACAGTGGGGTGGTGGCGGCACATAAGGGATGTTGGCAGGGAATTGAACTCAGATCTCCAGATCTCCAGAAGGTGGTAATTCTACAGAAATACCGCTGCCCCGCATAGCTATCATTACTGCATTGAAATTAACACGAGAAATGTTCAAATAGAAGAACTCACAGGCCCACATTCCCTCAGATGGTAGAATGATGACATCATACAACCTCGCATCCTCCGGAAAATTTCTCTGTACGTTTGAGAGAGATTGAACACGAAAAAGGCAAATAACGTGTTTGTGTGATTATGAAAATTGTTTGACTTCATTCGGATTTCCCCTTCCTTTTGAGAATTATTGCTCCACGATAAAGATCCTGTGCCTTTAGGCTGACGTTCAGTGCATGCATCTCCGGGCTCTGACGCTGATTAGGGTTTGAGATGGGTTTGAGAGGACTAAGAGGCAGCGCCGGGTTCAAAGCTCATACAGGCCTTATACTCGCGGCCGCTACTGCAGTTTCTTCGCCCCGCAGCGCGGCCCTCACCAACCCACACTTCTCCCGGCACCGCCGCCGCTGCTCTTGGCTGTCTCATCCCAGGCTGCACCTCCGGAGCCTACACCAGCACCAGGGCTGCGCTCCGCCAGGCAACAGGCGTCCTTGGTGCCCAGTAACAGTCTCCTAGCAGACACTGCCCCGCCCACTCCTAGCAACCATGGCAACAGCAGAGCTCAGGCCAGGCGTCATCCCCGCCCCTCCAACTCCGGGCTGAACCATTCGCCGCAGGGACAGTCTCAAGGGAATCAGGAAATATGATCCTACGATATAACCCCTGCGAGATACTCTGCTCCCATATTTCTGCCCACTTTTAACTATATACTTTCTCTTTCCCTCTTTCCAACTGTCTCTGCTAGGGCAGCGGCGTGTCTCGCTTTTCCGTCTGGAAAGCTCCCCTTCGATCCCCGGCCCGCGCGTGGTCCGGCTCGCCGGGGAGGCTCACGGTAGGCGCGGGTTGGCGTAGAAGAGGGGGCCAGCGCCCGACGTGACGCGTAGGGGGTGGGGCTGCGCGCTGGGGGAGGGGAGGCGGGCAAGATGGCGCCCGGCGAGTGATTCGCCCCGGGTCCCACCAGCAGCCTCGGAGACCCCGGGGCGGGGGTCCTGCTTCCAGTGCGGCCCTTCCTCCTCTCCCCCGCCCCCGGAGGCCCTTTCCCTGCACTCACTCCTCCACCTCGGGGGGCGGGCCTGGTTCCTGGGACACCATGTCGGACTCTGAGGAGGAGAGCCAGGACCGGCAACTGAAAATCGTCGTGTTGGGGGACGGCACCTCCGGGAAGGTCAGTCCTCGCACCAGCCTACAGTCCCGGGCCTGCAGGAATCCCCGGCGCGCCCTGGCGCCCCTCAGCCTCCTCCCCGCCGCCGGGCGCCGCCTCACCCCGAGCCCGTGGCTTCGAGGCTCGGGCCCAACCGTCAGGCGCCCGGCGAAGGCGGACGAGAGCTGTCCAGCTCCCCTTTAAAAAAAAGAAAGAAAGAAAGAAAATAGTGCACTTCCCAAGTCCCTGCCCGGATCGCGAACTTATCCTTCCAACGGCTCGGGCAGCATCCCCTCGGTGGGAAGCTTCCCATCTTCTCGCCTCTCAGGACCGGCGAGGATCTGCCGAGGCATCTTACCTTGACTGCAGCTCGGGTCTGACTCCCACCCCCTTTGCTTTCTGATGCCTCCCCTGCACTGTGAGCTCCCAAGAGCTTGGCTCTGGCATCCGAGTCCCTCGGTGGGAACTGGGGCTCCCTCGCTCACTGGCCCGGTCCTTGGAGGGCAGTTGCTAACCTAGTTGGGACCCATCTGCAGAATGGGTATGGAGAGGAGTCCCCTCAGAGGGCTGTTGTGACGCTTGGCGGCAGAGACACACGAAGCTTTTAGAACTTGACGTGCACTCACGAAACGTTGGTGCGTGGTCTCCGTTCCCGGCAGCACCTGACAGTACAAGCATATCAACCAGTGACTTCCTGAGCGCCTGCTGTGGGCTGAATGCGGGGGGCAGGACAGCTGGGCGACAGAGGGAATCCCTGCCTTGCAGCCGAACCGTTGGTGACAGTTGATTGAAGGAATGAATGAAGGAATGTGAATGAATGAATGAATGGCCAGCTGGCCAGACCCTTGACCTCCTAGGCAGGGATTCTTGAGGTCTGTGGAACTCCTGACGTCGCATCAACTTGGCTTGGTACTTGCTCAGGGGGTCTCTGGTGGTGGAGTGCTTAAAGCTTCCGGCTGCCAATCAACAAGGTAGGGGTTCGAACTCACCAGCAGCGGCTCTGCGAGAGAAAAATGGGAAGCAGTCTGCTCCCCGCAAGCTGTACGATCTTGGGAACCTTGTGGGGGCAGTTCTACTCTGTCCTGGAAAGTCGCTGTGATTCGGCATCGAATGAATGACAGGGGGTGGCTTTTTTTTTTTTTTTCTTTTCCTGATCTTGGTACTTGCTGAGAGGAGAGAGCCCATAGGATCTCAAAGGGCTCTGTGACCCACCCCTCGAATGAAGTGAAGAGCCTCTGCCGAGTGCCTTCACACCTGTCCCCTCTGGCGAAGGCACCTACACTCTTTCTGGGAATGTCTCTTACTCTGCAATTAGAGTCACGCAGGCTATTCCTGCTGCCAGTTTCCGATTTTCGGCTTCCCGTTTTTTTCTTGTGCGCCTGTAATTGGGATCCTGGTTTCTGTAGCGACGACAGCTCTTTGCATCCTCCCTGGCAGTTGGCGGTGTGTTGCTCCTGTCCGCCGCCCTGAGACTTGACTTCATAGAGCCCCTGGGAGAGGTGTCATTCACATGCTGCGTTTTCAGACTTCTGTTAACTTCTTTCTTGCCTCTCTGGGTACTTTGTTACTGATTTTGATTGTTGAGGAAAACAACTTGATATGCTCTGATTACCTTTAAACATTTTTGGAGAAGTAAAGAACTTGAGATCACTTTTCTTTATACAATATTGTATAAATTTTTGTACACTTAAAAAGCGTTTTGAAGGGGGAAGTTGTTATAAATAATTTAGCACTATTTCTAACATCTTCATTAACTTCAATACAAATCTTCGTTATATTTTTATAATTTCCTCAGTATTTAGATTTTCTCTTGAAGGCCTTCTGACTTTTCATTTCGTAAATCACCATATATTACCCAGTATTAAGGTCAATTCATAAGTGAGTTTATTTCCTGTTTAAAATTACAATGACAATCTGTAACTGTAGTGCACTTGTAAAAAGACCTTCGAATTCACCACCATCCTACATTTTAGCATAGTTCTTTAAACTTTTGTTTGTTTTTCTCCCAGTTTTTATGTTGTTGTTGTTGTTATGTGCCGTCGAGTCAGACCCGACTCATAGCGACCCCTTCTTGGGTTTCCAAGGCAGTATCACTACGGAAGTAGATTGCCCCATCTTCCTTCCGAGGAGTGGCTGGTGGGTTTGAACCACCAGCCTTCTGGTTAGCAGTCAAGTGCCTTAGCCACTATGCTACCAGAGCATTAGGAGCCCTTGATGGTGCAGTTGTTAAAGCACTTGGCTGCTAATTGAAAAGTCGCCTGTTCGAACCCACCAGCATCTGAGGGTGAGGAAGATGTGACAGTCTGCTTTCATAAAGCTTTACAGCCTTGGAAATCTGTGGGACAGTTCTACTGTGTCCTGTAGGGTTGCTGGGAGTTGGAATCCACTCGATGCAGTGGGGATTTTGGTATGCTTGTATCACCCAGTTGAAATTTTTTCATAATTTTCTATCTAGTTTTTCATTTAGTCTACCATACATATTATCCCCTCATTGCTAATTTAGCCTGGATAAGTATCTTCTAAAATCTGTCGATAGTTCTGTCCATTCTAGGACAAAGCATAGCTTTTTCATTTCTGTGTTTGTTGAGATAGCACTATCTTTGTGCATTGAAGAATAATGGTAGTGATATTCCGGTGCTCTGACTTAATCTTCATGATGTGGACTAAATAATTTCTTTTCAAATCATAGTAGAGTTTTTCTGCCAGAAATTTTGTGATATAAGCATCCAAACCTAACCTTCTTTCTTTATTTGTAAGCATTTTTTTTTTTTTTTTGTCCATATCCCATTCAGTCCTTCAGTTATTGGCGACTATCAGCGTTCCCATTCTATTTACTGTCCTTTTCTTTTATGAGCCTAACCTCTCTTTCATCCTTATTTGTATCCTGATTTTGCTCCTGAGCATTTTTTCTGGCATTAATTTTTCCTGCTAATTCTAACTCTGGATTTTTATATATACTGATGGAAGCAACAGAGAAATAGGATGACCACTAACAGGTTCTCCAGGGGAAATTGAGCTCCTCTCCTGGGAACAAGTGTTTCTATTTCTCTCCTGTTCTGATTCCTACTTTTGATTTGATTACTTACTAATACTTTTTTGAGTACAAATATTGTTTTTATGTGCTTTTTTAGTGTTTGTAAATGTAGTACGATTAAAAATTGTCAGCACAGTTTTAGCAAACAAAAACTAAAGAATCAGGTAAAAATGTTTTAGGTATGAGGGATGGTTGTTCACTTTGTAATTGTTTAAGAAGGGCGTTTATACAATGACTCATGAGAAATTACTGAATGTGAAAGGTGGCACCAAGTCCAGATACTTGAAGAGAAAGGTGCCCTTGGCAGTGTCAGGAGAAGGAATCGGAACCCGTTTAACGTTCTGTATTGCCAATGGCCTGTGCTTTTTGACTCAGTGTTCCAGTGAAAGTGCCAGCTTTAGATTTCTATCGAAAGTGTGAGGGTGTGGTTTGAACACCAAAAGTCAGAATGTAGAAATGGTTCAGAAAAAAAAAAAATTAGGATTTTTCTGAATACTCATTAATCTAAAAACACTGAATTGAGAATCTTAAATGAAAGTGCCAAATTACCTTACATGACATGCTGATGTTACACATGCCTTGAGATTCTCTTTGCCTTTTGGAAGTATTTCAGCCATCCATCCATATAGTAAACATTTTGAAATATCTGTAATATGAATGGTGAGAGTTACTTTTTTCTAGAACTCAGATGATTTTGTGCTCGTTTAAACAAAGTCAAGGAGCTCTGGTACCACTGTGGTTAAAGCATTGGGCTACTAACCAAAAGGTTGGTGGTTCAAAGCACCACCTGGTTCCTGGGAAAAACATGAGGTAGTTTGCTTCTGTAAAGATTTACAGCCTTGGAAACCCAACGGGGCAGTTCTGTTCTGTCCTGTTTGGTTGCTGTGAGTTGGAATCAACTCAATGGCAGTGGGTTTGGTTTTTTAATAAACAAGCCCAGTAGCATAGCTACACGAAAAACAAAAGACTTTAAAAAAGAAATGTTTATCCTTCTTATTTGAGTATCTTAGTTTCGATATTACTTTAAGGAAGCCAAATACATTTTCATTTTGGTGTAGTGCATTTATTTGTTAATGTCTAGCAGAACACCTTTCAGATAGTAATGTTCAATTTAACCAAATATTTTAGAAAGTTATAAATACTGAGTATTTAAATATTAAAAAAAATTGATGTTAGGGTGCATGCGTTACCATTTGAGTGAAAAATGTGGTGCTTGTGTCAAAAGAAATTTTAGTTTTTGTTTAAGGAAATTGAAATTTTGCCGAGGTTTCTTTTACGTTGCTGGAATTATATCATAATTAACTATAATAAGCTGTCTTAGAAATGTCATCTTTTCATTACGTTAAGAGCTGACATCTGATTTTAACTTACAGAATGGAAAAAAGGAGCTCTTTTCCCTTAAATTTTAGAAAAGTCTGTCTTGATAAACCTAGAAGTTTAGTTTACTTTTTTGGGAAGTTTACAAATGAGAGTAGTGCATTTAAAATGTTTAAAGAGCCTTTAAGTTACTGAGTTATTTCAGTTGTTATTTGAATGATTATTTCACTTTGATAAGAAGTAGTACTCTAAAAGAAAGCAACACAGTTTTTGAATAAAACTTTGAGTTTTTAGTTTAAAAATAGCTGTATATATCTGTTTTGGTTATATTCCCGTGACTCTTTTACCTTATAGTTTTTGTGCTGGAAAATACTTATTTTATCTGCTTTACATTAATCTTAAAAATACCAACTTCATTATTTAACGGACGCATATTATCAGAATCATTCTCTAGAATCATTTTTAATTAATAATTTAAGTGTAGACAAAAATTAAGCACTTAAAGATACTTTTCTTTGCGGGGGGAAAAAAGGAAGTTCTGTAAGCAGGCTTTCCTTAATTAGTATTTCTTAGTGTTAGCTGGGAGCACAGGCTACCCTTAAAATATCTAACTTGAGAAATGAAACTTAGAAGTCTTTGAAATTTTTATTGAATTGATATATATGGATATGTAAGATTGCAGATCTTTAATTATGCTGTTTTAGTTTTCTCGTTGATAAATCTCAGATTATATTTTGCAGCAAGAAGGAATTTGACAGTCTGGATTTAAAGAGATCTAACAGATTAGTCTGTTGTCCCCACTGATAACATTTGACAAATGAAATTTACTTGGTAGAGTGTTAACTTCCTCCTCCCTTTGTGACTGATTAGAACTGCTTACAGTTGCTCCTTGTATTAATAGACATATGAATGTTAAGATGCTTGATGAGATTTAGTAATATTTTTATGTCCATGTTTCTAAAATAGATAAATTAATTTTTATATTCTGCGCATCAATTTTTTTAGACTTCCTTAGCTACATGTTTTGCTCAAGAAACTTTTGGGAAACAGTACAAGCAAACTGTAGGACTGGATTTCTTTTTGAGAAGGATGACGTTGCCAGGTAAGAGACTTAACAAGTTTTAACGTAGAAGATTGTGCAAATCTTACAATAAGACACACAAGGCAGAATTGTGTAAAATAGATTTTGTTGCTGCATGATAATTTGTGTAATCAATAAATCTAGTTTAGGGAGGTTAACTTTTATCAGCTTCTACTCTGAAGGCGTATTGGCCATGGGTGTGAGAAAAAAAGCTTACACACCCCCTACCCTTACCTTTTATTTTGGCTACAACATTTTCCAATGATAAACAATAGTTGCTTATAAAATTCTAAAAAGTTTTAAAAAAGTCAGTGTATGAAATTGTCAACAAATGTTTTATTAACTAAATGTGAAAAGATTGGGAAGGATTATTTTTAAAATACTATTTTGATTAGCCTCTGCTTGAGTTTTGTGTTTGAGAGAAAGTGGGAACAGAAGTATAATGTAGCTATGGAACTTCTGTGCTCTAATATGTGAATGCTGTTTTATGCGAGGCAGCATGAAATTGCTGGCATTTAATAGACCACTAAAATTTAGGGTCCCCAGGCACTCATAAAAATACAGTTTGAGCATTCAAGATGTTTCAGTTCACCATGCAAAGAAACTATTTAGATGCCAGTTGCAGCACATTTTGTGGGAAATACAGGGAAATAATAACAAAAAAAGAGTGGTTTCTGTTTTAAGTTAGTTTCTGAACAATTGGGGCTTTAAAATGCTGTCTGTTCACTTGCAATGGTTAAATTATATGTTTAAAGTATTTTATTAAAAGTGGGTTTATCTTCACTGACTTTATAAACCAATCTGTCCCTCTTGTCTCTCGTCTCTGAGGAAACACATTTGAATAAAACAGTTGCAAGTGGTGTGATGTCAGATTCATCACTGGAATGTGAATGATAAAGTGGGAAGGGGTTTCATAAATTCTGATATTACTGAAATAGGTTAACCTGTCTAACACCCATCTGTCAGACAGCTCCCATGAAAGTTTTAAAGCAGCTAATGGAAATTCTTGGTAATGGCAGGTATTCTGTATACCTCATTAGTAAGACAGTATACATATTTTAGGGTGCTCTGTAGCCTGCTGCCACTGAAAAATAGATTAGAAGATACAGCATTGTTAACTTATTGTTTGTTCAGCAAGGGTTTAATGAGCAACACATGGAGACTCTGTTCTATTTGTATTTTCTTTTCACATATTCAAAGCTGAAAATCTCATTTTATTTTTGTTATCCTCTAGCTTACGGACAGGTAAATGCTACATTCAGAATATCTATAGCAGTCACTAGCAGAATACATGCACATATTACGTAATATGAATGCTAAATATTATTTTTCAAGTTTTCTTTAAGGAATGCCACTTATACATAGTGTGTGTATTCTAAATATAATTTAGTTATTAGCTATTTTGTTTGGATTCTGAATTAGAGAAGCACCAACATTCTCTTTCATATTATTGCTTAATTTTTCTAATTTTTTATTTAAAAGGCATAAATAAGGATCAAACAAACACTAAAACTGGTTTTGGATGTTTTAATAATGTTACATATTTAATTTTATACTGATTTCTGATCTGTTGTACATTATTACCAATTTTTGAGTTTTGATTATTTTGTAAAAATTATTTGACAATTATAGAATCCAAATTTATAGCATACTACTTTAAATTTTAGAGTAAGTAAGTACTTAGGTTAAGAAGTGATATTAGGAGATGTATATGCTTAATGAATGTGTATTTTAATTTTCCTGATTAAGTTTATATTTTCATGGTCAGAGTTCCAGAAATTCTCTTTTTTTAAAGAAAGTGTTTGTACTACTTAATGGATTCAAAATTATAGTGGAAATTTCACTAGGAAAATAGTTTTAATATATATTAATTTTATATAATTAATAGGTAGATTAAGAGACAAGCAAATAAATTGCAAGACTGGTAGTATATCCTTCACATACTAAGTATCAAAATGTAGGATGGCCACTATTTGTGTTATTTGCTAAAACGTTGCAGGCAGCATTCTTGAATTTATGGTAAAACAGTGTAGCAGAGGAATCTAACATTTGTTAGTATTCTAGTAACTCTTCTGACCAGTCAGATTGTTAGAGTTGTAATACCTTCTGTCCATCTATTCACATTCTCTTCATGCAAGTTTTCAAGGTCATTACTTTGCAGATACTCATCCATTTCAGTGTATTTCATGATCCGGTATGCTGTATAGTCTGGATGCAACCACTGTGCAGATTTTACTGCTTAAAATAGTGTATCTGTTAGTCAGAGATTCTGCTGATAGAGCTTCTTAAGAGCCTTAGTCAAAATACTTTCAGGAAGCTTGTGGGTACAGTCCAGTAAACAGCGTTCTACTGTGAAAAGGATTTCTAAGTCTTTAGTACAAGAAGTGGGCAGACTCGTGTTTTTAGTTCCATCTTGACTATGCAGCACTTTAAGTAAGGTTAACCAAGGCACCAAGTGTACTTTTACAAGGTCACTGTTGAATCCTCTTGGTGGCTTTGATTCATACCAAAAGCAGCTTACCTGTATTTTGTCACCTCATTTATTTTATTTTTCCTTCTAGTTACATGTTATTTCTTGCAGAGGAGCTAGAGTTTTGTAGCATTTTGCATTTGGGATTAGATTGCTGACAATTTCCTTAAAGGTCTTTATTAGTTAGACATTTATATTAGATGGATTCTTGATATCTTCATTTTGTAGTATTGATAATTTGGATACTCTCATAAAGCTTTATAGGTATGTCATTTTGAAAATAGATTAGGAGATAATATGTGTTTATGTCTGCAAAAACAAAAATGAGTAGTGATTTCAATTAAATCTTTATTGATTTTGTTCCCAAAATAGGGAATCCCTATTTTAAGTTTTATGTGTTCATAAGCTGAACATTCAAATGTGGAAATTAAAAGTATATTTCTAGATATATATATATCATAGAAATAACTATGAAGTTAAAATCATTTGTGGCAGCTGTCATTAGTAATTAGTGAATAATTAGTAAAGCTTTTTTTTTTTTTTTTGCTTGTCTACTCTATTAGTAGGCTATCAGTAATGCATAGCTGTTTTTGTCTCTTGAGTCACTAGAATCTGTATGTAAATAACACAAAACAAAACAACAGTAACAATGAAAAAGGAAGGTTTCTTTTGGATAGGTATAGATTTCAAAAATGCCCTTACCATACGAAGACTTAGGATCTTGAAATGATTGTGGTCAGAATTTGGAAACATGAAATGAAGATCATGTTCCTAAAGTTATAGTCAAAGTGTTGACAGCATTTAGTTCAGTCAGATGGGGTCTAAATATCAGAATTCAAAAGAAAAAATCTTTACATTTCTTGATGTGAGGTTAAGCAATAGGGATTATTGGCAATGAAGAAGATGAGGACATTCAATGTGTTTTATTGATTTTTAAGTGTTGCTTAAAATATTATTTACTCTGTAAAAGTTAGTATTGTAAAACATTGTTTTTGAAGTAAACACACAAATGACTGTAACGAGTTTTGCACATTAACTGAATAGAGCAATGCCTGTTTTTCTAGGGCCATCTGAAACAATATTATTTACCTCTAGTAGTGAGTCAGAATGAGTCAGGATCAACTCCCCAGCGACTGAGTTTATTGATGACTAGCTCTTTCTCACCTGTGTAATTTCAAGCAGTATTAGAATGAATCTCAGGGAAAGATCTGTAAGAAACTGGATTTATGCGAGTTGCTGGACAAATCTTAGTCTGTGACATTTTGATTTACAGTTTTATAGGAGCTCGGGAACATTGTGGTCATCACTGCGAATGCTGAAAGTGTGTGTATTTGGTAATGATGATGGGGGAGGGTGAACTTCAGTAGCTTTCAATGCTAATGGAAGTTCCTCCTGTAAATCCGCTACACGCTGGCAGATGGAGCAGACCTCCATGCAAATAATGGAAAGATTGTAATGCAAACCCAGCGAAAGTCAGAGTAAACTTCTGCTGGTTAATTCACTGTCAAGCTTTCTTTGCAGTTGTGAACTGACTAACATTCTCCGATTTTAGTGTTTTACATTGGCTTTTTTTTTTTTTAATCATTCAGCTCTTTCATGTCTTTAAAACAAAAATTTTGAAATGAACTTATATTAGATAAAACGGCACAATTTTATGAGAAGTAGTTTGAGATGTTAAACAAAAAAGCCTATGTGGCGTGGTCTTTGTCTTTTGTAGGTCAGTCCTTAGTTTCGCTGATAAGAGAGAATAGCTTATCTCCTAAGTTTTTGTATCAACCAAATATTTTGCAAAATGCCCAGAAGAATTTTAAAGGTTGCCTTTTAGTACTTTAGAATGCTTTTATAAGACTTGGTTAGGAAAGATTAGTTAAACTATTTTATAAAGGTTTCAAGACACATAATTTATTTCCATGGAAATACTTTGAACAAGTATGAATGTAGCATGATATTTAGTGATATGCTAGGTATGCTACATCATTTCTGAAGAGGGCTGTCAAATGCATTTATATTTTATAGGTTAAAGACCATGTAATTTTTAAATTTTTTCCATTACATATAAAAGCAGACATTCAAATTAAAAAGATTCAGGTTGAAACTATGAATGTGTTTTTTATAGTCTGTCATTTTTCTGTGAGTTTTAGAACCCACAGATTTGAGAACCTATAGTAAAATTCATGTGCAATTGGTGCAGTTGGGTGGGTTAATATATATCAAGTTTCACTTTTTAATTTTGAAGTAAATTTCTTACCTCACTATCCATGTGCTTTGTTATATTATTCTCTTAAAGTTTAAGAAGTTTATGAATTAAAGCTTATTTTCTTTTGTTTTGAAAATGATTGTGAACGTGGTTCCATGGAATTGGGTTAAGGGATAAACCTAGATCCCTACAATGGGTTGATTTTGCTACATTATTTTACAGTTCCAAATATTTGACCATATGAGTCTGAAGAATGGAAGGCCTAGAGTTTCTCACTGTGACTTAGTGTTCTATGAAAATGTTTTCTGCTGTTATATGGTTATTTAAAGTAGCCTTTTTTTCTTATTTTTATATTCAATTTTTATATTATAGGAAACTTGAATGTTACTCTTCAAGTTTGGGATATAGGAGGACAGACAATAGGAGGCAAGATGTTGGATAAATATATCTATGGAGCACAGGTATGACATGAATTCTATGATTATTCTAATAGTGAAAATATATACCCCTACATACATTTTTTCTAACTTGACTTTTATCTGATATGTAAAGAGATTAATTAATTTTACATTTGTGTTAATCCTGTGGTTTCATCCTCCTCAGATTATGTTTGGAATGATTTGGTGGAGGGACTGGTATTCCTCTAGTAAGTTTCATATGGTATTTAAATTACTCAGTATTATCAGCAGTTGAATAAATACAGTGCTAAATGATATCTGGATGTTTATTTGCTGATTTGATTATAGTGATTACTTTCAGAACATGTAAACGCAATGAAAAGTATAGTCAGGGAAAATTTAAGTTCATTTAAAAAATTTCAAGGACAGAAAACCTGTATCTATATCCACATATAATTTCGTGGTATATATTAGTTTACTAAACATAGTTCTTTAAATATAATAGATACATTGATATTTTGTATCAGAAAACTAAGTACAACTCATTATATACATGAAGTACGTAAAGACTAATTTAAAATGATGTGTTTTAGGAAGGAAATGTATGTGGAGCAAGAAAAATCAATTGCATGATTTTATAACAAAAATTCTTTGACAGTGTGAGTTTATATAGATGTAATTTATAAGTTTTGTAATGGATTTAACATACAAATAGAAAATAATGCATGGTAGTAATATACTTTAAAAAGTTAATTACTCCTCTCTCCACATTGAACTGAACATGTTCTATGAAGAATCATTGCCTTTTTAGTGCTTTGGCAGGGCTCCATATAGCTGTCCTAGTGGGAGTGACATGGTATCTCAGGGTGGTTTTTATTTGCATTTCCCTAATGAAGAAAGAAGGAACTCTGGTAGCATAGTGCCTGAGGCACTTGACTGCTAAGGGGAAGGCTGGGGGTTCGAACCCACCAGTCACACATCAGGAAGGACATTTGGGCAGTCTACTTCCGTAGTGATACCGCCTTGGAAACTCAAGAGGGGTCGCTATGAGCTGTATATGACTCCATGGGAGTGAGTGTTTTTTTTTTTTTTTAAATGACAGTAGATGTTGAACATCTTTTTATGTGCTCCTTGGCCATTTGTATATCTTTTTTGGTGAAATGACTATTCAAGTCCTTTGCCTATTTTTTTTTTATTGAATTGTTTCGTCTTTATGATGTCAAATTGGAGGAGTTCTTTGTATGTTTTGGATATTAAATCTTGACCCAATATATGGCCCTTGTACATTTTCTCCTAATCTGTAGGTTTTCTCTAAACTTTGTTGAAAAGTCCTTTAAGCCCTGAAGTGTTTAACTTTGATGGAATTCAATTTATCTGTTTTATCTTTTGTTGCTTGTGCTTTTGGTGTCATATCTAAGCATCTGTTGTCAAAAACTAGGCCCTGAAGCATGACTTCTATGTCTCCTTCTGAGTATTATGGTTTTAGTTCTTCCTTTAGGTTCTTGATCCATTTTGAGTTTATTTTTGTATACAGTGTAAGGTATGAGCCCAGCTTCATTCTTTTATATATGGAAAGCCAGTCCTAGTACCATTTATTAAAGGGATTATTCTTTCTCCATTGAATGGACTTAGTCCATTAATGGACCCTTGTCAAAAATCAGTTGACCATAAGCGTATGGATTTATTTATGGACTTGCAATTCGTTTCCATTGGCCTATATGTCTAGCGCTATACTAATTCTGGACTGTTTTGATTACTATAGTTTTATAGTATGTTTTGAAATTGTGAAGTGTGAGTCCTCCTACTTTGTTCTTGTTTTTCAAGATTTATTTAGCTATTTTGGGCAGCTTGCAATTCTGTAGGAGCTCTGGTAGCATAGTGGTTAAAGCAGTTGTCTGTTAGCCAAAATGGTGGTGGTTCAAACCCACTAGCTGCTATGTGGGAGAAAGATGTGGCCATCTAATTCTGTAAAGATTTATAGCCTTGGAAATCCTTTTGGGCAGTTTTACTCTGTCTTACATGGTCAGAATTTACTTGATGCCAGTAGGTTTGGTTTTGGGTTTTTGCAGTTACATATGAATTTGGGGACTGGCTTTTCCATTTCTGTAAAGAATGGTGTTGGAATTTTAATGGAGATTGCATCAGATCTATGGATTACTTTGGGTAGTATGACATCTTAATAATATTAAGTGTTCTAATCCAGGAACATGAAATGTCCTCCATTTATTTAGGTTATCTTTAATTTCTTTCAGTAATGTTTTATAGTTTCTATATAGGAATTATTTTTTAAATTTCTTTTTCAGAATGCTCATTGCTAATATATAGAAACCCAACTGATTTTTATGTGCTGACCTTGTAGCCTATCACTGTGTTGATTGTTAGCTGTAGTAGTTGTCATGTGGATTTTTAAAATTTTCTCTATATAAGATTAAGTGAAAAGGGATTGTTGTTTTCCTTCCTTATTTGGGTTCTGGCTAATGTTTCTAGTACAAAATTAAAAAGAGTAGTGAGAATGGGCATTCTGTCTTGTTCCTCATTTTAAGAGTTATGCTCTTAGTCTTCCTGTGTTGAGCCTGATGTTAACTGTGGATTTTGATAAATGCTCTTTACCACATTGAGAAATTTGCTTTTTATTCCAAGCTTGTTGAGTGTTTTTATTATGTAAGGGGATCAGAATTTGTCAAATGCCTTGTATGTGTGCACTGATTGACATAAACATATAGTTCTTTTCCTTTGTTAATGTGGTATGTTACATTGATTGATTTTCCAAAATTGAAATACCCTTGCATTCTTGGCATAAATCCCACATGATCATGGTGTATAATCCTTATAAAGTACTTTTGGATTCAGTTTGCTAGTATCTTTTGAGGATTTTTGAATCTGTATTCGTCAAGAATGTTGGCTTATGGTTTTCTTTTCTTGTGTTGTCTTTTTCTGCTTTGGTATCAGGGTAATGCTAGTAGCTTCACAGAGTGAGTTAGGAAGTGTTCCTTCCTCTTCTATTTTTTGGAAAACTTTAAGAAGGATTGGTGTCATTTCTTCTATATACGTTTGGTAGCATTCCCAAGTGAAGCTGTCTGGGTGGAACATTTCTTTTTTGGGAGTCTTACCATTACGAATTCAGTCTCTTTACGTGTTATGGGTCTGTTGAGATCTTTATTTCTTGTCAATGCAGTGTTTGTGTTTCTAGAAATTTGTTTATTTCCTGTAAATTATCTAGTTTGTTAACTTATACTGTAGTTTTACACAAATAACTTGCATGTTATACATTCTTTTGCAAACTGTGCAACTACTTTGTGTGTTAGTTTCCTATGTGTACTATGTGTGTTGTATGTGCGTGTGGCCATTGTATACCTGAGCATATTTATATGAAAAATATAATTGCTCACAGTATTCTTTTATGATTCTTTTTATTGCTGTAGGGTCATTTGTATTGCCCCCACTTTCATTTCTTTAGATATTTGCATCTTCTCTTGCTTTTCTTTGTCAGTCTAGCTAAAGGTTTATTGACTTAAGATCAAACTTTATGTTTAGTTGATTCTCCCTGCTGTTTTTCTCTTCTCTATTTCATTTATCTCTGCTCTGATCGTGGTTTTTCTCTTAATTGGTAGCTTTGGGCTTGGTTTGTTCTTGTTTTTTCAGTTCTTCAAGTCATAACATTAAGTTATTGGTATGAAATCTTTCTTCTTTTTTAATGCAGGTGTTTATCTCTATAAATTTCCTCTGATCACTGTCTTCGCTGTGTGCCATAAGTTTTGGTATGTTGTGCTTGTGTTTTCGTATAACTCAAAGTATTTTCTGATTTCTTCCTTGACCCATTTCATTTTTTTAATAGTGTGTTGTTTAATTTTCACATGTTGTGTATTTTCCATTTTATTTTTGCTATTTCTAGTTTCATTCTGTTTTGGTCAGAGAACATACTTTGCATAATTTCAATTTTAAATATTTACTGTTACTTGCTTTGTAACCTTATATGTGGTTTATATTGCAGAATGGTCCATGTGCATTGGGAAGAATGTATATTGTACTGTTATTGGATAGAGTATTCTATATATGTCTGTTAGGTCTGATTGGTCTACAGCATTATGCAAATCTTCTATTTCTATATTGATCTTCTTTCTAGATGGTCTATCCATTATTAAAAGTGGTGTATTTAAGTCTCCAGCTATTGTTAATATGTTGTTGTTGGTTGCTGTTGAGTCTTAGGTGGCCCCTTGTGTTCAGAGTGGATGTGCTCCACAGGGTTTTCAAGGCTGTGGTCTTTCAGAAGCAGATCACCAGGCCTGTCTTCTGAAGCTCCTCTGGGTAGGTTTGAACCACTAACTTTTCAACTAGTAGGTGAATGCTTAACTATTTTGCTATCAAAGGACCCAATGTTATTGTAGAACTATTTCTGCCTTCAATGAATAAGGAAGACTAAAGAAGAGTTGATGCTTTTGAGTTGTGGTGCTGGTGAAGAATGCTGAAAGTACCATGGACTGCTAAAAGAATGAACAAATCTGCCCTGGAAGAAGTGCAGCTGGACTGCTCCTTGGAAGCGAGAATGGCCGAACTTTATCTCACCTACTTTGGTCATGTTGGCAGAAGGAACCATTCCCTGGAGAAGGATGTCGTGCTTGGTAAAGTGGAGGGTCAGTGAAGAAGGAGAAGGCCCTCAATGAGATGGATAGACATAGTGGCTGCAACAATGGACTCAGGTATAGCAAGGATCATGAGGCTGGCACAAGACCGGATACTGTTTTGTTCTGCTGTGCATAGGGTTGCTATGAGTCAGAGATGACTTGATGGCACCTAACAACAACATTTCTCCCTTCAATTCTGTCAGTGTTTGCTTTATTTATTATGGGGGTCTGATGTTAAGTGCTGTTTTGGTTACCTAGTGCCACTCTGACAAGAATGGGCCACAAATGGGATGGCTTTAACAAACAGGAGTTTATTCTCTTACAGTTTGGAGGCTTTAAGTCCAAGTTCAAAGTGCCAGGCTCTGGGGGCTGGGTGAAAGCCCCTCAACCTTGGGCTTCAGCTCTCCCTCCTGCTCTGGCCCGTTGGAGCTAGAGGCTTTT